CCGTCGGGCACCTCGGCCTACGTGTTTGCGCCTTCTCGTCGCCCGACACAGAAAAGGGCTAAACGGGTCGTGCCTGCAGCTCTGCAAATCCCCTGTCAGCCGTTCTCGGGGTGTTTTCCCAGTGAAAAACCAGGATTCTGCCCCAAAACAACACCAGGTCCAAAGAAAATGCAGTTCCCCTGAGTCTGCCCCACTCTTCATCCCCTAAAGCCATTTTTAAAACCATTTTGTTCTTTATAACCACTTGAAAACCCTTTAAAATCAAATTTTGCTCTCACTTCCACCTGTCGAGTGCATCTCCAGTCCTATAAGCAAAATTTGGGTGGGTTTCCTGTGTAAACCAGGATATTTATGAAGTAAATCCATGCAATCAGAGCCAGATGAGGCATGCAATCTCTATGGACTTTATCCTTATGGATTTGTTCTCCAAAGAGGCTTGCCTTTCCCATCCTAAGGAGGAAATTAATGAGTATTGACATATATTTTGATTATTTTATTTTATTTTTAAGCCCTACTGTGCCTCAAGGCTGCAAAGCAAGGAGATTAAAAAAAAATCCATAACAAAATAATTTATAAGATATTCAGAAAATAAAACTAGAGCCTAGCTGCTGTATCAGCATCACACTATTTCCTCCGGTGATGTGAACGCTATAAAAATAATTGCCCATCAACCTGGCATTATTTCAGGCCGGTGTTGCCTCTCGGGGTGCAGTCGTGGAGACCCTGATCCATGAACAATCCCTGTGCGAGCCCGAAGTTCCCCTATGTGGAAAAGCTGCCAATTCACTTAATTATTAGCTGTAAATAGTTAAAAACAGCCCTTTCATCCAATTCAGCGGTGGAATATTGGGCTGCACCACGCTGTATGTGGGTGAAAAAGGGACTGGGAACGAGGCAGAAGAGATGCCCAGTCTGCGGCCTCTCAGCCTGAGAGTGGCTCAGATAGATCCAGGATTTCATAATCCTGGGTCCTAAACTGGCAGAAATTGGCGCTTCTACCAGAAATGGCTTCCTCCACTCCCAGCTGCTCGTTGCCTCCCTTGTGCTGGCACGAGCAGTGAAGCGGCTGCGTAAATGAGCCAGAACGGGCTGATCTGAATTAAAATTAAGTCAGTGCACATACCGGCACACACAAAGGAAAAACAGCTCTTTTTTTTAACATAGGCAAACCGTGTACCCGCCGTTCCCACAAAACTGAACGTTGGGGAGGGAATGTCCTGCTTTGCTCCTGCTGCCTATCAAAGCCAAAACAGCTCACTAGGAATCTGCAGAAAGCAACATTTTTTTCAATGCAAAATGTGGGACAAGGCACTGTTAGAGGGTCTTGGGTCACTTGGGAGCATCCAAGGAGGGGCTTCCGCAAGGAAGAGCTCCTGTGGGATGGAAGGTCCTGAGGAACCCCCGGGGAATGACCTGGATATTCCCAGCTGGTTGGAGAAGGGAGAGGAGCATCTTGCCTGAGGCTACACGCTTGGATTACTTACACACCTCCCCTATGAGGGGACTAATGAGAGGCAGGGACACTGCATTGCTAAAAACGACTCCCTTTTCAATCCACTGTCTGGAACTTCAGGGGTTCTGCTTCACAGCACACAGTGCTTAAAATTACCCAAATTCACAGCCCTCCTTTTCTACTCCTAACACTATGCTTGTATGACGCTTGTTTGTAAGTCTAATTTAATTTAAAAAACAGTAAAAAGCAAGTGCGGGGTTTTGACGCTGCGTTGGCAGGGCATCTGCATGCGACAATGTGCCCCAGGGAGGGCAGCGCATTTAAGAGAAATTAAATTGTCTCATTCAGCTCAGAATAAACATGGTGCTAATCCCTCTAATAGCCTTCAGCATCACCAGAACTGCGTCTCCAGCGTGCAGGAGGACCCAATTAAGTTACTCTCACGTTGGAAATCTGAGCCTCGTCAGCTCCAGTTTAGTCTGGCGTCTCCCGATGGCTTTCGGGGAAGCTGCTGAGACAAGCTAAAATGCTGAACTTCGCTAAGCGCTGCACCAGCACATTGCAGGGACCCAGTGGCAGCAGGAGACGCTGCCAGCGCTGCTGGCACGAGCTGGTTTCCCAAGGCACAGGGATCTCCAAGGATTTCCGAGTCCTTCAGCATTGCCCAGAGCAGCAGCGCTTGGGATCCGCAAACAGGAGCTTGGGGCACAGGGCACCAGGATGATCCTGGCAGTTGTGAGTCTCCAGCTTGGAGCAAGGACATGTTAATAAAAGTGTAGAAAAAGTGGTGAGAATCCATAAAAGGGAAACTAAAGTTTTAGAAAACATAGCGTATAAGGAGAAGCCAAACAAATTAGATGTAGTGGTGTTAAAAAGGAAATAACTGTGGAGATAAATAATACTAGAAGTAAATACCTGATCAAAGGGGCTTGATGCTCACAGGAGATGGTGAAGGAAGAATTATCTTTGTCTGCCAAAAAGGAGGTTTAAGTTACAGCTGAGGAACAGCTTTCCCACTGTGCAACAAAGTGTTTCCCAACAAAGGATGGAAAGTTTTAAGAAAAATGTGTTCTGGGATGGTCGATATGCATTGAATCATGCCAGGGGCTATTCCTGAGAGGTCCCCTGCTTGTTTTAAGCCCTCCGTTTTGCCAGTCCTGCAAGCCCAGTGGTAGTTGCAGTGTCTGTGGTTGCATCCTGTATCCCTCTGTAGAAACATGGAGAAGAAAAGGGTCTGGAGCTGAGTGCCCCTTGTCCTCCTGAGCCAAAGATTCACCCTCCAGCTGCTGAGAGGGCTGCCTCCCACTTTGGCCACCCAGATACCCCCTTCTGCAAGCTGTGATGTGGCGGGTGCCCACTGGGGTGGGGAGTTTTAGGGTGATAGCACCAACTGGGGATTCCAGGGGTGATGGGAATCTCTTTGAGCCCCTCGTGTTGCTCACCGTGGAAGGGGATGGAGGCCAGAGGCTGAAGCGAGGCAGCACTAGGGGACCATCGCAGGAGGCTCTGTGGAGCTGTTTTGGGGACAGAAGGACAGGAGCATCAAAGCGCAGCTGACTGCAACGTGGGAAAGGTACCACAAGCCCCAGGAGAAAAGACATAGGTTGGCCATTGTGGAACAGAATTGGAGCTCGGAAGGAAAATGAGATGTCTGAATTTGCCATGGAAGGAGACCAGGAGCCCATGCGAAGCTGCAGGAGGAGGCGTGACATGGGCCGAGCAGCAGGCAAAGAAGATAATTTTAGCAGCAGCAGCAGCTTGCTGGAAAGACTCAAGCAGCACTAAGGAAAAGAAAAAGGGAGAAGATTGATCATGGAGAAGATGGTAGGATGATCCACGCGTGGTTTCCATTAGAGGCAAGTAACCAGCACCAACGTTGTACAAGACAGTGATGAAAACTGTTTTGCAATGGTGTGTATGGCACTCATGGCTGTG